GGGGCACTCGGTGAGGCTCTGGGAAGGTGACGGGGTGCTTTGGCACAGTCTGTCAGGAGAAATCCTGCTCACTGGCACTGCTGCGGGTCTGGAAGTAGTAAATAAATTGCCTGCTTACAGATAGTACAGCTACGTGCTCCGTGCCGCTCATCCGTGGTCCTGAGCTCCCGTGCTTGTGCCACAACTGCTTCTGGTCCATACTCCCCCACGGTCTGGGAGGGTGGGATACTGGGTCATGGAAAAGACGGTGGTACTGGATGAAGGTTTAAGGAGATCTTCAGTCTGCAGGGAGAGGAGTCAGGGAGTTGTCTGAGCTATGCCAGGGTTGAAAGGTCTGTTCTATTTTTCAGAAAATAGAAAAAGGAAAAAAAAATATATACATGGAGAAATGAATGATAGTGCAGTGTATGGTCCTCCTTTGATTTGTGCATTGTTTTGTATTCAGATACCTGTTCAAAGACAAACAGCGATGGAAAGCTGGGGAAGTAAGTTTCCAGCTACTCCAGGACATTCTGATGATAGATAGGACTTTCGGAAAACCCTAATAACATGATATTTTATTTTTACCTCAGTCTGTGTTTCTATTGCCTCCCCTCTGGCCTTTTATAAATTTCAAAGTTACACAAGCACTTCCCCAGAATGCCCTTCCCTCTGCCTGTATGCTGGCCTTGCACGTAAACAGGGAGGGCTTGAAATCTGGTTGTGAAAGCTCCACCTTATTTTGGCAGTAGCAGCCTTGTCTCCAGCACTATTCATTTTATGTAGTGAAGTCATTTTTTATTTGTTAATAAAGAAGTTTGATGGGAACTTCTTCCTATTTAAAAGGTTTTCTACCCATGTTTTACACTAGCGAGGCTCATTTGCTACAGTTTTCATAATCAGAAATGATGAGCCATTAATTTATATGCTGTTTTGCAAGATTCTTCTATATAATAAGCAAACATTGAATTGTCAGTGCATATTATAATTCACTTTAATCCATTTGAGTTGTTTAGTGGTCAAATTTTTGTGTCATGTGAATCAAGTAATGTAATTTTTGTCCTTTTTCTTCTAAATAGAAAGCATTTGAAGGCACAGAGGAGGGAAGCAAAGGTTTATTTCTTCTCTGACAAGGTTAAAGCCCAAGAGTAAGTCAGACAAAAACTCCCAAATCCTCACACTGGATCTGTTTATTGAAAAATTCAAATAGAATTCATTCTCTCTCTAGAGTAAACGATTTCTTTGCTGGAATTATGGTGGCATATGGGGAAGTAAGATATATTACAATCAAACTGATATAAAACAGCTGAATTCAGAAATAGTGACAAGAGATAATTTTAGTTCACTATGATTTAATTCAATTAAATGCAACACTGTTAACTGCAGTCTAAGAAGAATTACTTGTGCCTGTGCAGGCGCACACAAGCCTTATTTATTCTCTGCTGCATCTTTCTTTGCAGAAGAAATTACACCAGTAAAAAGCGGGTGCTGGATGCTTTCATAGCACTGTAAAAGGCTATATACCTCACAGATCTCAATGGAAATTATACCTGAGCAAGGAGAAGCAGTGAGCTGAGGTGTTAGAGAGTAGACCCATTAAAACCCAGAAACTGTGTTTACGTAGTGTGCTCTCTTTGAGCATCAACAGTGTTGGTGCAGGCTTGTGAGACTAACTCACCAAACAACACCTCAAAAGAGATTGCCACTGACTGGGAAAATATAACTTCTGATTATTATTTTTATTTTTTTTTTCTTCAGAAATGAGGTAGTCCATTAAAACAAACTGGTCAGTTTGAGCTGCCCGTGCCTTGCGTGTCCCAGGCACTGCCCCGAGTCTCTTATGAGAGAGCATTTACTGATTCCCCTCCTCCTCTAACCACCCGAGCTGTTCCCTGCCCTGTACCTGGGCACGGCAGCCCAAACCCGCAGAGGCACTCTAGGACCGCTGTGGATTTCAATAGGAGTGATGTGCCTAAACGCCTTTGTGCATCTATGCCTACAGGTCTTGCTGTCCATGCCCCAGATCCCTGCTCTTGTACTCGCTGCCTCGGAGGGAGCTAATGAAGGGCAGGTAGCCCAACACCAAGCTCCCTCCCAGGGCTGTCTGACCCTGCGGCTGTGGGACAGCGGGCTTTGATGGGGATGGGAAAAGGTTTAGTGTGGGGTTGTTGAGGGGACTTGCCTCCCTTTTTGAAACCCTCATCCTTCAACCTGGCTGTCCCTTCCTAAACAGCAGTTCCCCTGTATAAGTCACGTTCCCGGTGGCCATCAGGATGGAAATGGAAGCCCACAGGTGCCTGTGTGAATGCTTGGCGCGCCAGCATAGAGTTACAGGCAGAGGTTTGGCTGGGGTTTTTGTATGGATTCAACAGAAAGAAATTTCTCACTTGGTAGGTATGTTTTATTTGACCATGTATGCTGAGATATGTGACACTGTCCTAGCTGGGTCAGACACCCAGGGTTCATGTGTGAGGAGTCCCAGAATGAAACTTACAGCCTCAGGCTTTGTAGCATCCAATCCTTATTTTTCTTATGATATGTTTTGTCATTATGTGTTTGCATCATGACATGGCTTAATCATCCAGCTCCTGTGACTGTAAGCAAAACAGTGTTTCTGGTCCTAAAGGGTGAGTTTGCAATCTAAGTCCAGGGTGGGAGTTTATAACAAATAAAGAATAACTGTGAGCAGGAAACAAAGAAATTGATTTGTAATAGTCACAATTACCCTTACACCAACTGCTTGACTATCGTCTGTTTGTAGTCAGGCTGGTAGAAGAGAGTGTACTATGAAATTATTCTAAGGAAGACGGTAAGTCTGGGAAACAAGGAAGAAACCAAAAGGGATGCTGTGATAAGACAGTGATTTCAGCTGCTTATGCTTTGGGATTGCTCAGTAGTGCAGGTAATTGTCTTTGATCATAGCCTTGTAACCACCACCTTTAATTTGTAGCACAGAGGTTACTATCTAGCACCCAGCTAGCCAAATGAAATGTATGGCTTGATTAAGGATCTCTTTTGTCAGTAATTTGTGCCTAATGTTTTTAGCTTTCCCACGGGCTGTTATAGAAAATGGTAAATCTGGTTTAAATGAAACCTGATACTGTTAATGGTTTAATAGCAGCTGCCACAGGGTTATGGCATTTTTCAACAGATGCTTCTGTTTCATTTTAAGCCTACACTAAGTCTTAGAATATATTTACATAATTAATATAAAGTACACCTACATGATAATGACAGTATTTATAGTTTTAAAAGATTTCCTTAAATGACTTCCTCTCTCTTGCCGTTATCTAATCACAATATATAACTTGAAACAGGAAGGCATATTATTAAAATAATAATTTATATTCACCTCTTCAAAAAAATTACAGAATGCAGCACAACTAGGAACATGTATCATTGCGTAACATAGCAGTTATTGTTATGGGTAAATCCCTTAGCTACTTCAGAAAAAGAGAGAGAGAAAAGGCTTGACTGTACCTGAGTTGTGCTTACGATCTTGCCTACTGTTCAATCAGCAGTACAAAAAGGTGATGTTTGTATTTAAACAGGAAAGATCTGCTTTGAAGTGTGTACTTACCTGCAGAACTATTTGAAGCAGTAAAGATTTGTGGCTAGTTATCAACAGAATATCTCACTGAGGAAATCCCTGCTAATTTAAGAAGACTGACATTTTAGGCTTTTAATAGTGGGTGATCAGTTTGGATGGATGGCTTCTATTTGGAGGTCTTATTCTAAGTTTCAAAAAGTACTGAGGGTATATCCTACAAGACACTCAGTCAGAGGATACCCTTGAATATTGTGGCCTTCTACAATTACATGTCAATTCACAGGGAGAAGGAGAAAAGGCTCCTTTCTTTACCTTGTCTGGAAGGCAAGGTAAGGTTGAGCAGGAGTCTCTACAAGGCAAATGTACCAAGGCATTTGCTACTATCAACTTTGAGGACGGAAATGGGAACAATAAAAGATGGAAAATATTCAAATAACAGAACAATGTCTCTATTAGAGAAGCATCCAAGATAGTTTATTTAAGAGATTAAGCACTCCCAGTTTTCTACAATCAAGGAGAATATGTAGGAGCCGTGGTGAAGCAGATGTTCTGCAGTGTGAGAGGTGTAGCTGACATATTTTCTTCTGTTGTGCCCAGGTTAGCATCCTTTGGAGCTGTTAGCCAGGGTATGATGGTAGTCAACTTCCATGTTCTAGCTTTTGTATGGGTTTTGTTTTATTTGCCCTTTTGAATGTATTAGAGCTGTTCAGCAGGACCTGGGTCAACCCCCACTTTAATTAAAGAAAACAGTTAAAATTGTCACATAGGACCAGATTTCTTTTTCTTCGTCTTTGTCTTGCTTCCTTCTCTACCCTCTTCTCTATGACCTTGCATTGCTTCACACAGCAAACCTTACAGAAGGATTTACATAAATTCATTTCTTCAGTGTGTTTCTTCATCCCTGATTTTCAATCTCCTTTTTGACCCTACTCTGAGGTTCACATGCTTTGCAAGAAGAGTTTCCCTGCTTTAATTTGAAGGAGGAAGGCTATTGTGTACCAAAATCATTCCCAGAACTGGGTGGGGAAGAGTTTATGACTCAGTGAGGAGCAAGCCTGCAAGTGTTCTCACTGGATATTTGGATGAACTCTCCAAAGTTGCTGCAAGAAGAACCCAGTGGAGAATCTCACCCAGCCCTCACAGCAACACCTCAGATTTCCCAGTTGGTTTGCTACTCTGTCTTAAAGTTTTCTAGTGGCAATATTTTTCCACTACTGGTAAATAAAGACAGAAAGTGAACATTTTCAGAAAGCCAAGGACAAAAAAAAGAAATTACAAAATTAGCATAAAAAAGGCATGGCATTTTCTCTGTTGGAGTGGAAAATTGTTCAAATACATGAGTTGCTGGAAAGAGAGAAGTGTTAATTGGTTCAAAGGTATGAAGTTTGTAGGGTTTTATATGATAAAAGAAAACTGGTTCCCTTGTGATGTTTTTATAAATAATAAATCTTCTCTTTTCCTTCTTTGCTAGGTTCTACCACCTAGAAAAGCTATGAAGCCAGGCATGGTCCTCCTCTTTGAACTCTTCCTTCTTCGTGGGACCTATACATGGATTGATCGAGAAGTGGGATGGGGAGCTTTTCCCCTGTGTGACAACAATTTTAATGCTCTGGAGGGAAAATTTAAATGTCCCTTCCTCAGAGGCCATTATGACTCCAAAGTTGACCGATTCAAAAAAATTGAAAATTTTATTTCTCAAGACTTGGATAATTGGTTATGTAATCTCTACTTTCAGGTTTGTATTTTAAAAAATTAGGCCTGTTGGTTTAGCCACTGTTCCTCAGAATAGATTCCACTTTCCTTCTCTCTGTCTTAAAATAAAAACTCTCTTTCCCAAAAGCAGTTTATCAACTGACCCAGTATGCAGAAAATTAAAATGGTACACCTCTCCAGCTTATGTGAATTTAGTGAGTTTTTAACACCCAAATTTTAGTATTATTTCAAATATCAAAACATTGTTTGGGGAGCTGAGTAAATGAATCAAAAGTTGAAATCCCGAGTTTGAACCTGCCACCAGTACATGTTAATTTCCTCTACAGTTTTAGTGAATCTCAGAGGTGCTTTTACATGGCTAGAAAATAAAATAATGTTGCTTAAGATATTGTTGCTTTTGTATGCCTGGGATCCCCAGATAATGAGCAAGGCTCTGTTGTGGTAAGAGCCTTATTTTTGAATAGGATTTGGACTTAATTTAGATGTGACTTTTTTGTATGATTTGGTGAAAATGGGCCTGAGTTAAAACCTCCTCTTTGGTGGAAGCTTGTAAATAAAGGCTGTTATTGTAACTGAGGTACATTCCCTCGTTCAGAATCTTAATAAGACCTCAAACTTACACCTCTTTTATAGTCATGTCTGGCTCAGGAGAAAACACTTACCAAAAGACATGAATTCTGAAAGCATCTTTATCTTAATATGTGAGTTTACTTAATAGAAAGTGTCGTTATTAATACTCTTGTAGTGATGGTTTTCAGGCAGTTTTCTTTTTAAGTCTAGTAAGAGTAAAAGAAAGTGAAAATAACTTCAGAATCATGTGGAGATATGAGAATTTATACCAAAAATACACGTAAGATATGCTAGGAAAGAGAATGTCAGAAACAACATGTTGTGATTTGAGCCTGGTCAGCAGCCAAACACCACACAGCCACTCACTCCCCCTTCTCTTAGTGGAACTATAGTAAAAAAATAATAGAAGAGTCAAAATTGGTTGAAATGGGGGGAGGGCAGACCCCAAAGCTGCAAAATTAGTCTTTCAACTCAATGTATAAACAGTGATGCTTTAATGATCCAGGGAATCTGTATTTTCCTGGATGATTCTGAATTTGGATTGTGAGTCACCCTCATTTACTGGGATGTCTGCTTTAGTCTGTAAACATGGGAAAGATGTACATAGGAAACTGATGGGAGAGAAAGCTGTAGTAAATGGAGTACAGAGAAATAAGAACTTCCTAAAATCATCATAGCAGCATCTTGGACTTCTAGGGTTCACAAATAATGTACAAACAAGTATATTCTGGCTTTGTGGAATACTGAATTTCTTATGTTCATGTATTTATATTTTTTCCTTAATAGGTAATTAAACTACCACAAGATTCAGATAAGCAAAGTCAGTGTGATATGCTCCTTCATCTCTCACCAGAACTTCCCACGTATTCAAGCATTGCCGAAAAAAATGGTGTTTCAGAGAAGATGGAACAGTCTGGACCACAAGGTGATGGATTCAAACTTCCATGTTTAGATTCTGGCTTTCCTTGGAGCAAACCATAGTTTAATTTCAAGTTTGACCAGTCATTACTGTTCTTGTTAAGCTAGATTTTCCTCATTCAGATTTTGGTCCAACATGTGTTATAGCAGGATTATGATTCTTTTTATTGATACTGCTTAACTTTGTTTTCAATTGTAAGCGATTTAAACCAGCCTCATTGATGAGGATGAAACTTTCCATGCTGGCCTCTGCTTGAGGCTCAATAATGCTTGGAAAGTCATAGCAATAACAGGTCAGCTGCTTATGACACCAAGCTTACAGGAATAAATAAAAAGGAAAAGATACTTTTTTTTTGTCTAATTATTTCTGGAAGAACTCTAGCACCTCCCTGGGCTAGAATAGGGACTTCAAATTTGGCAGAAAGATAGTTCTGGCATCAGAGGCATACCTTATGCTACTCCTATGAAATTCCATTAAGATTCATTCAAGTGGTAACCCATAGGAAAGACAAATTATCATTTGCTTATGTGAATCAGATCTTCCCAGAAGTTTTCTCAAAAAAATCACCGACTGTTACTTTTAGACTGTGCATCCTCCCTGGACTCTGTGAGTCTCTGGATGTAGCTACATTGAAGACATAATTGACCTTATTGCAATGGACTTGGAAATTGCTCCTCTTCTGTTAGAAATTCAGGAATAAGAAAAATGGCAGGACACTGCCATTGGTTTTTCTTTTTCAGCATCTGACTGCCATAGACAAAAAGAATTATTTTTTGATATACTGACATTCGTATATTCCCTCTTGTTTAATGAACTGAAGGATGCTGCCAAGCTGCAGGTTGTAGTGTCTGTATGAATATTATGTGCAAATCTGAAACAGAGATTTAGTTCTTCAGGACAGAGATTCCTGGGGCTTTTGAGGATGGCAGCAGTGGTGCACAGTAGAAGACATGAGAGGAGGAAAAGGAGGATATTGGAAGAAAAGAAAGAGAGCAGATAAGTAATAATCATTTAGTGTGGTGAATGGGTGGTTCAAGTCGGAAGTGTAACATGAAAAGAGGCCAGTAGAAATATTTTTCAGACAGTGAGTGATGGTTTAGGAGATAAAAAAAAATGAGGTTTTCTCTGTGACACTTTTAGGCTAAGCAGCAACTGCACTGTGATCAAAAGGCTTGTATATAACCACCCTGATACCAGAAGCACAGAGGTGTAAACTTACATTGTACTGAGGAGTAAGGTCCTTTTTGTTGATATACGTTTTCTACGTATCTGCTAAGGTGCTTCTAGATACATCACAAAACCATGAATAACAGATCCAAAAGGTGGAATTGCAGCCAATTTTTCTCAACAGTGAAGAATAATGGACAAGCTCTTAATAAAGCAAAATTGTACTTATGATTGTTTGGTCCTACCATCAGTCTTCACATGCACACACACATGTACACATAGAGGCTGCAATGAAATAGGTCATGCTTCTGGAAACACATGGAAAACCTTGTGATACTCAGTTTGAGAAGTCCAGAAAGATGTATTTATAAGAACTGAGAAAGAGCATTAGTGTATGTCCTATTTTGCATGCAGACCTCTGAAGTAGGTTGATAAGCTGATCATGGAAGATCTGCAATTTCCATGCCAAACAGATTTGCACTAACAAAATTTCTAGGAGTAATTTTTGATATTGTTTATATTTATTTATTTTTCTTGGAGCCTTCTTTAAAGATATTATTAGCTGCTAATATCCCCCATGGGTTTGTTTTTTAATGTATCTATGCAGTGCTACAGTATGCTGTTTCTGCTGGTGATATGTTGCTAAGAGATTTAATAATGGGTAAACAAACACAACATGTGGTAATCCATTTCAAATTAAAAGTTTATTAAACGCTAGCTTGATGACTTTCTGGCTATTTACAATTAAAGGAGCAAACCTTAGGGAACTGGAGATCACGTGGTGAAAATCACGACTTCAACATTTCCAACAGAAAAATGTGTTTATGATCTGTGGCAAGCTGTCGCACATTGATATGCTCTATAAATACTATATTATATCTGTTAAACCACCAAAAACAGGGGAAAAAAAAGCTCTGTTAAAGTGACATTAAGGTTGAGACACAAACCAGAGAAAGCAAGAACAGTCTAAATGAAGACTGGTGCTCTGTAACTCACTCTACTGCAGTAGTCTAAATAGTGAATGATCTTACATATCGATACCATATGTGGTGCTGCAACATATAAGCAAAATAGATCAGGTTAGGAGATGGTGTTTTAACCTTCACTTCAAATTTGTCTTGGTTTTAGAAGTTTAAGACAGAACCTTCATATTATTTCCATTAACTCCAGGCTACATTATTATTTTAAACCACCGCTTTGTGCTGGGCTAGGTATGGCTCTTCCCTGCTGCACAGGATTTCTCTACCAGAATACAATGCAGGGGAATGCAACATAATACTTCCCTTTCTACCCCCTTTGTAGGTCACAGAAGCACATTATCAGATCTAGTATGTCTCTTAGTCCAAACCATATCTTCTCTCCATTCTTTCAAAGTGGTATTCCATGAGAGGTCCATGGAAGAAGACAGCTTCTGCTTTCATGACAACCATGCTTTGCTTTTTTTAAGAAAAGCCTCTGTTGCTGTTCTGTCTGTGCTGTTCCTCTGACTTGACATGCAAAGACTTATTTGTGCCCATCAGAAAGGGCGATCAAATAAAACAGGCAAGAAAAAAAACAGGGGTGATTTTTATCCCCTGTAGTTTGTAGAACCAAAGGAAAACTTTTTCATTCTAGTGATTTGCTGATGCCTCTTTAATATTGGTCAGTTTGAAGTCCTGAAGTTATGGTCATCATTGTTCTAGCATGTAAAGATGTACACTCAAGACCTAAAAAGGATGCTTACAAGGGTGAAAGTGGAAGAGTGGCTGAGGAGGCTTAAGATTCTGAAACAATAATTTTTTTTAGTTCCAAGTTGTGTGCAGTTTTTGATCAAATTGCAACAGCAATCAGTACCTGTACCTAAATAGTGTACATCTTTTTAAGCAGAAGTTAGGCCAAGCACTACAGTGTGAAATCAAGACAGGAGTTTTGTTTAACCAAGCTGTGTTGGAGGAGAGGTGTTATCAGCCAAAATTTTCAAGGAAAGTGTTTGAAGGTAGCTGGGCTAGTTTGGTCCCAGTAGCAGGATGATCTTGCTATCGTACAGCTGTGACACAGGCTGTATTAGCGTGGGCACAGTGTTGCATTAGCATGACTGCACAGCTCCCAGTATCTGGGCTAGCAGAGATGTTCGTTGCTACTGCTTTCACTGGTAGATTTGTCACATAGAAAGACTCCCACTACCTCAGCTGTCTTTGGACTAGACACCTACATGCATATTTTCTATGTGTCTGTAACATTTTCTTTCCAGAAAGTTTGCTTGTTCCTTATTCCCCCCCTGCTCTACTATACTTTGGGAGTGTAAAGACCAAAACAACTCAGCTTTTTGAGTATGGTTTTAAGGACACTTATTTTCTTACAACGAACAAATAGCTCACTTTTTTCCTAAACTTTACTTTTCCCTCCCCCTACAAAGTTTGCTGTATAACAGCAGCACATGTGGCTCATTGTGCCCCGTGCATCATCCAGAAGAAATGTTAGACCAGCTGAATTTTTTTCAGTTTCCAAACTGATCTGTACAGAAGGATCATTTTCAGGTATACAATTTATCTGGTTACTGTACAATTTAGAGCATTTTTCAGTCTGTCTTCCTTTGGTCTGCCTGCCTGGCTGTTAAGAATAAGGCTGGTTTGCAGTGCTTGGCTTCAGCAGTCCTTGAAACTCGCTGGAGTTGTAAAGCTTTAAACAGCTGCGCAGGTCTTTAATTGTAAATTAGTTTTGACAGGACTGCTAGGCAAAGGCCTGGCCCATCCCGTCGTGATGCTAGCCGACAACCCCTTACTGCTCCTGGAGCAAGGAAACATGTGGAAGGAATTGTTCTTTTACATTTCACAGCTTGTCATTTCCTCTGCAGGGCAACCTCTGACCTCCCTGAAAGATCCTGACACCCATAAGGGAAGTATTCCCACTGTTGTAAAGGAAGTGGAAAAGCAGTTTAATGCTGCGAAAGGAGGAGAAGCGTGTGCGTCAGAAGAAGCTGGGAGGAAAAAAGAAGAGTTTAAAATGTTTCCAGCAGGTTAGGACTTTTATTGCATTATTTAATTTACTGAAAGTTTGCAAATAGATGTACTTGGCATGTGTGTAAATACCTCCATCTCCCTTCCCCCTTGCCCTGTGATATCATCTCATCATTATTTCACAAGGCAAAGGAAGCGATGGAAGAGTTTAAATCAATTGTGAGGGATCAAAAGCAGCTTAGGCGAAAAGGTACAGAAGTGGTGGACTCCCCTTGTCTAAAAAGTATTTGTAGGCCAAATGTGTTAGTAATTACAAGGTGTGTGTGGAGTGCACTGACAACATTAGATTACGACTGGTGTTTCTGTGACATTTTTACATCCTTTCATTTTATTTGGCCATTTATATCCATGGATCACAACATGCTGCTGTTAGGTGCTTGGGAAGTACTTTTTCTTCTTGCAACACGTTAATAGCAATATCCTTTGTTAATTGTGTTGAGCCAAATTACGTAAGAGAACCTGTCTGTATTAATATCAGGTAGCATTTGCTTCTGGGACATGCGGTTTCTTTTGAAGGCAAAGCCTTCCAAGTTGCACCGTTTTGGTTTGGTTTACTTTAAAAAAAAAATAATAAAACAGATAGAATGCATGTGTCTGAGAATTGAGTAACACAGACCTAGGTCCTGTCCTAAACGCAGATACCACCATGATGGCCAGTGGCAGATTTACCATGGGGCAGGGATCTGAAGGTACCAAGGTTGTAAACAGCCACCCCCATTTAGTAGCCTGGGTAGTGAATTATGCTGTCTGTCCCACCACAGGAAAATGGTTGTGCAGGCACAGAAACTGGCTGCTGCCCTCATTCCCCTTCGTGCTTGCACCCGTGAATGTGCCCTGGGTGCCAGCCAGCCCTCCTGGTCACGATACAGATGTTTAGGATGAGCAGGCAGATTCAGTAGCTGAGGCAACAGAGGGGGCATTAGGAGCTGAGCTGAGATCTGCAGTTGTACCCATTGCTCATGACTCTCCCACCCATCACAAATACAGCGAGGGTCGCCTTTCATTTTAGGGCAGTTCTCACTCCCTCGGTTGGTGTGTAGAGAAAGCTGAAAGTGCAAGTGAAAATAAACTAATCCCTCCTTTTGAAGGGAAAGAGTGACTCTCCTTATGTACTAGGAGGCTATAATATGTCATGTTTAGGCAATGAACTGGAAAATATTAGGTAAGAGATAGCTACCTGAAGTCTGTTAGCTACCTCTTATTTGTGTAAACAGGAGTTTGTAGTTGTCTTCAAGTCTGTGGGCTGCCTGAAATTATGCAGTAGAATTTTGGATGCTGATTTGAAGCCAACTGACATGTCAGCTTTCCTTTCACAACAACCCATGAGATGTAATTCAAAACCCATTTATTTGGAGCTCTCCTTCTCTGTTGACTGCCCAGGAAGACTAGGACTGCATCTGCTATTATAGGTACATTTGTTGAATATCTCGTGTTAAGAGGGCACAAATAGAAGTAGGAGCTAGTGTGGCATTGCTTAGTCAGGATTCACAAATGCTGAGTGTTAATGTTGGCCATCATAGATGTGTAAGACATAGAATACAGAGCTGATGTCAATTTTTGTTAAGTGGTATTAGTGACAAAAGGTTAAGCATGTTACAGAAAAAAGTAATAACATTTTCCAATCTTTCAGGGATTCTCAATGCACCTCCTAATAAGACCAACACTTTATTAACATGTCTTTTCTATATGTTGGTCCTTCCAAGAATGTAATCACATCCCTAGCTTACAAATTTTTTTTCCAACTTTTATGTTAGTGGAATCTATTTTGAAGTTCATTTAATTCATTTACCCAACATTAGTTGTGCAAAGCTGCTTAGAATACTCACAGTATTTAAAACATGAGTAACCTTCATAAACAAAAGTTGTTTTAAATAACATTTAGTGGTATTTGACATTTTCTTTTAGCTGCTTTTTAAATTTTCTTCAGATTTTTTTTCCTTGCCAAGATTTGTATGTTTCCACCTTTAGAAGGTATGTCTCAAAACCCAATTACTATTTGTGCAGGTAGACAGCTATTCCTTCTCCCCTCTTCCCCCTACCCCCTTCACTAATGCTTATCTAGGTCTAAAACAACCATGTTGAATTTTTAGTCAAACTAATTATGTGGAGTTTGGAAGAGATTCAATAAAAACCAAAGCATTTTAGAACCCACATTTTCAGTTCAAGAGGGTCTTTTACAAGTACGCCTAAACAATGCAGTTACAGAGGTGTCCTGATTTTGGAAGGTTTTGAATTACTACAACTTTTATCAAAGAAAGGTTAGATTCAAAGAGCATTGTTCTGCATCATGAGAGGATCTGACTCAGTATACTCTAAGAGATAATAGTATAATCTACTAAGGATTTTAAAAACATCTTGTATAAGAGGGAGTCTACCTGAACTACAAGTAGATCTCTAAAAGCATCCATGGATTTGAAATAGGTGAAAAATGCTTTTGATTCTCTTTATTCACAAAAAAACAGAAGTTTTTCTTCGTGAGTTCAATTTCCGGTACTTGCTAAATCTATTGCATGTTAATTTAATACAAAACTTTGGTTTCAAAAGGCACATCACTAAAGCACAGATTTTCTGTGATGGAACACTGTCAGTAGTGTAACCACTAAACTCAATATCAGCACTCAGAACCAGAGAGGTAAAAAAGCTTCATTTTTAAATCCCCAGATAATTTCTGAAGAACCATGTATAAACTAGAATTTATACTGTAACTTGTGTTTAATTTGGAGCTTCAAGAGTGTCTGCATTTTTTTCCCCACCAATACTCATCCCAGCAGACATCTGCTCCCCAGCCTTCCTCTTATATGAAACCTGATTTCTTTTTTCAAAGCCCTCAGTTGTGCCTGTACCACAGTAAAACCACTGGAAACATGTAAAATATTTCTCTAAATATTGTTAGTCAGACTGTTACAAGCAGCTTACATTCTGCCCATTTTGGGGGTTTAACACAATTTCTGTTGTTCCTTCAACCCGATGCTCTATCACCTTACTATGGCACAGCCACGACAGATTTTTAGCTCCTGATTTTCAAACCTTCCAGCTCAGAAGGATTCTTTCGCTCAATGTCTGTCTTCTAAAATAAACTGCATATTGAAAATTAGATATTAAATATTGACCATATTTACAGCCTTTGATTCAAAGCCTTCTCTGTGTCTGTGGAAAAATGCTGGGAAGTGAATTGTGTCATTTTGTGACATCAAAAAACATTTCTGCCTGAACAAAGCTTCACAATAACACCTAAGCAAAGATGGCACCAGACTGAGGAGTTAATACACTAGCAGATAACACTCAGAAATTTATTCAGAACATATTAAGATGTTCCCTCCATATCAAAATATCAAACACAGAGACAGCTTCATTCTAACTTTATCGTTACCTCTGGAGAGAAAGATTTTCATTTGTTGAAACATGCTTGTGTAGGTGAGAAATGGTTTTGTTGAGAGGATTATATTTATGCTTACAGCCACTTCTGAAACAATTTCATGAAAACCAGTGAGCTTTCCTTTGCAGTATTTCTCATTATACTACAGTGAGGTGGTCCTCCTTCTGATATGCTATTTGCTTCTACATAACAGTCATATGTGGATGCAAAAATAATTATCTAACCCAAAAAACCCAAAGCTATTCTCATTGGTAGTTCCTCATGGATGCCACTTTAAAGGGAATAGTGTGTGGCTTTAAAACGGAGATTGATTGACCATCATTCTTTCTGCAGACAGAGCCTCAGATGGTTGAATCTTCTCTTTCTTTGCTGGTCTTTTCCTCCCCTGAGCAGAACTGTGTAAAGTATTGGTCTGATCTTGCAGATAGGATGATATTCAGATCCTGCTTACAGTTGTGCAATCTATGCACTCCAAACTCTTCTCTTCTCTGACTCTTACCATACTGTTTGACTTCCCACAGTCTGGGCTATTACTAGGGAAGGAGTCCAGATAGGATTTCCATGTTATTTTTTGTTTCCCTCCTATAATTTAACCAAGCTGGTGATTTTTTTTTTTTTCTGTTGCCCCACGCCTGGTGGCACCACTCTAAAATCCTTTCCTCCTGACTGAGAGATTTCAGCCATCAGAAGGGAGTGCACTTCATCCTTCTCTACTTTTCCTCTATATAAGTCAGAAGTATTTCCCACCAAACCAGTCTAAAGTAATTTCCTAGCTGTGCTGTTTCTTTTTGTCCATATTATAAATTTTAAAAATTCACTTCCCCCAACCCTGAACACATAAAAGATTCACAGTATCATCTCCATATGCAGCCTCTGAAAGTTTCACATCACAGAGAATCTGTTTCCCACCCCTCTCTAACCCCAGTTCCCAAAGGGTGTATCTACATTAGCGTTTAGATTTTCAGAGCACTTTTGAAGTGAATTCCCTGCCCCAGTTGCTGCTTTTTGGTTCACACTGCGGAGTGTTCTCGTAGGACAGGCACCACATTCCTTTAGCCTGAAGCTAAGCAATGGGATGCGCTTTAGGTGTGTGTGTCAGGTATTAACGGGCCATCAGTTCCCAGGACCTGACTAGAACTAGTCTGACATAAAAACTTCAACACACAGTGGGGTCCCCAGTGTCTAGTATTGTCCTCTGAATGGCTGGTTTCATTCTACAGATCCACTCCTGTTGCATCACAGAACTTGTTACAGAAGACATAACTAAAGAGGATAACTTGCAGACTGAATGTAGATGATGAAAAAGGTTAAATTATACCTTACAAGGGTTAACAAGCAGTAAGACGCCCTCTATTATTAAAGGTCATGCTATTACTCTCAGCTATTGCCCCAAGAAGGCTGATGCTGGGAAAGGTAACAGAGAAGAACTAATGTTTTAGTTTCCAAATTCTTTCCATCCTGTTCTAAAAATATAGGTCCCAGGTGAACACAGGAACTTGGTACAGGAGACACTTTCTTTGTATCCTGTATCAGGTGTGAGCTGTGTATCATCTAAACTGTTTTGCTGGGACTTAAGGTCCCCAAGAAATATGAGTTTTATATGTGTGTGTATATATATATATATATATATTTAATGCTCTCAGCATTGTCAAGGTCTGGAAAAAAACTTAATCTCACCATACTTTCCCAAATCCAGGCATTACTGTTATCATGCCCATTTCACAATGGTGGGAAAAAATATCAGCCGTTTTTTCTTATTTGTCTTATACAAATGTAGAGCATGAAAACAGTTCTGCTGGACTTCTTATTAATACTTGATCACAGATTTATGACATTGAATTAAGAATTTTATTGTCTTTTCTAGGCCCTGATGCAATCACATTTTCCTGCTCTCATGCCTATGTTTGTTGACTTCCAAATAAACCTTATAACAGAATTTACGCCTGCCATTGTACCCTTATCACAGCTGTGATACCTGTCTTTGATCATTCTTACCTGGTGCTATTTTCTCCTCCTCAAATTGTTCATTTTTATCATGAATGGTATTATGTTCCCCTGTCAGAGAACAAAATGTATTTTGAGTCAATTTACTAAAATAGTCACTGCTAAGTGCTATATCCGGACAAAGTTGACACCTTTGACATTTTCTAAAATGGTAAAAATAACTGTATTTAGGGTATGATTTATGGGTACTGTATGTCAGAGGAATTTTTATGTTATTACAGTTTCTGATGCAGCCATCCCAACTCCTTCAATGAACAAAATCCTGATAGTGCCGCTAATTAATACATTATTAGTTCTCTGTGGCCAACTATAATAAGTTATAAAAAAGTAAAATGCACTTTAATAATAAAGAACCTGTGTGATTCTTGTTTCTTTCTCAGAACTGTTTTGTTTTGTGCATTGGAAGAAACAATTTCTACACAGATCAGTTTTATAAGACATGTTTCCCCCCACTAACTAAGAGCAACTCCTATGATTAAAAAGTAGACTGGAGTCATTAAATGTCTTTCTGATTGCTGGCCTCTATTAAAAACTTCTTAAAATAATAGATAGGTTTAATTCCTCAAGCCAAAGAAAAATTATATCATCTTAAGTATTTTCCATATTTATTATATCGATGAGACTTGGCTGCAGAGGAAAAAAAAGGAAGCAAAATCTCTTGTATTGCAAGTTTTAAATGTACAAGGCTAAGGTTTACTTAATTAGAACCTCCAGGCAATAAAGGAGCCCTTTTTTAAATTCTGTGAATCTTAATATGCTAAATAATGCAAAGCTTCAACTCTTCAAGCATGAGACACACATCTGGCAGCTTAACATTTAAATTACAGAAAAAAACCCACTTCAGTAGTAATTTTCATGAAGAAAAGAATGGGAAATGTATTACAACTAAATTTAATTTCTTTTTAGATTTTTCATCCTGTCTAATTGCAAGCATTTCCCATCTTCTCATTTATTTATTTATTTTCATACAGATTTTTTCTGTACTTTTTATTGATCTTTAATTTGAGCAGCTTCTTATTGTTACAGCCATTGAAGAATTGCATTGTGTTTTTACTTAGCAAAAACTGTTCAGAGAAATCTATGAGGAATTAAAGTAATGAGCTCACTGGTATAGAAAGAAAAGAGCATTCAGAGCCTTACAAATAAAATATAAAAAGAGCATGTCATGATTAAATAACAAAGTTGAGTTCCTTTCCCCTCCCATTTCTTAAATGTAAAATAATGTTTTTTTCTTTTTATTGTGCTATGTTTTTGGCCAAGGTAATTACTTCTTTATTCATTTGTCTCCAAAAACATTGTCAAAGTCTTCATTATTTCAGCAAAGCTATTTGGAAACCCATTTCAGTGAGCCAAAATTTAAAATAAATAAATAAATAAATAGGACAACAAAGAAAACCACAGTAACCATCTTTACAAAGGTATCTTTATATTTTAATGTGTTTAATGGGTTCATACATGTGTCACATATCTGGAACATGTAGAGACAATTTGAAATGTTTACACTGCATGTGTGCACACACATGACGTACCCAGCAGCTGTATTTTATGCATTTTCAGCAATTTCGGTAAATCTCTTCTTTCACCCCAGATGATGTAAATGCCTGTAAATACCTAATCTACTATGAATGCTCAACATATATACACTTATATGTGTGTGTGTGTGTGTGTGTGTGTGTATATAAAATAAGAAATAGAAAGATATCCATAGGTATATATACAAACACACAGGCTCAAATCTGTGACATTGTATATGTGTATATTCTATATCTACAACTATAATACCTAAGAGCAGATCCTTCCTGTGCTGGCTTTCTAAGTATGCTCGACTGTCTTTTACTGAGGAGAAGTGGAAGTAACTGGGGAAGTGAACTAATAATAACTGGGAAGTGAAATAATCATTAAGTATATTTTTGTGCCATATATTAAGAGGTGTAATTCAGACCTTTATTTCCATCGCACCGCTGCTTGCTATGATGTGGGAGTACATTTTTGTTCATTCCACAGGTCACTGCTTTTTGGGAGTTTGAGGGACACGCTACTTGAGTAAACATTGCTTAGGAAACACGAGTACTTTGGATCCCTGTGCCTCACTCTCAATCCACAACCATGCCCATACAAGAAAACAAACTTCCCTCTCTTTTACAAAGAACACATCTTGGGGTGTTTAAAATATCCCTCACTGTCATTCTTCTTGTGTCTGTTATTTCTTTATTTCTACTATACCCCCCTGCTTCGTATTTATACAGTTGTCGTTTCCAGCACCACAGCTTCTAGAGTCTTCTCTGCATTTATCATCCTAACGCTTCTGGAAGGTAGGAGAGAACTAGCCACCTACTTATAAGTAGGACGGAGGGGAAAAAATGACCTGTCTGGAGTCATGCAGGATCTTGGTGGGAGAGGGAACAAAACCCATCTCCTTCCTTTCCAAATCTTTGTCTTATGCACCAATATAAAAATACTATTTTTTTTTTTTTTTTTATTTCTTACAGAGGATGATTTTTACCAAGATTGTTGTAGCAGTGCAGATGAGCACTGCAGCTCGTTTGGGCCAAAGGAAGGCCAAGGAGGACATCTCAAGGTACTGGCCTTGGTCTGAATGTCACCATCTCCCTTAAAGCGCATGGTGAAAGTCATTGGAGCTTCAGCTGTGCCATTTAGGAATGATTTGTGGGCTTGCTTCTTGTTGCTGTTGTGTTTCTTTAATCTATCACTGTGAATTTGTTATAGCTACCATAGGGCTTCAAACGGCTAGGAGTATTGGTGTCTTCTGCATAGATCTATAGGGAGCTAATATCTCCAACAAAGGAATTTCAAAGGAGTAGTAGGAAAGACCATCCAGTAATTGGACAACAGCAGCTTGATCAAGGCTGTGTTGCAGAATGATATTATTTCAGTAATGTTTAAACGCAAGATAGATTTCCTATGCATCTCAAACCTTCAAGCTCTCATGTCCTTGTGTGGAAAACTCCTACCATCAGGTAGTTTTAATATCTTTATTTGTAGTATCTTGGTCAAGGGCATAATTAATTTGTGAACAAATATTGTGTCATCAATACAAGTTACCATGAAATCACATCTGCAACATGACAACACTTTTTGGGTGAAATACTACTGGAACTTTCCAATTTAATGAAAAACCTGAGAACTAAGACACAAAGACAACTCTTCATTCCCGAGAACTGCTTCTACCTGCATTATCTGTTCTAAATGAGGTATTTTCCAATGAAGGATACAATTTTTCTCTGTAAGTGTTGCTCCACTTCCCTCTTTAGATCAACATGGCTACAGTGAACTATAACTGCAAACATGATTATTCAAATTAATCATGCTGGCAATTTGCATCACCCTGTTCTAGATGTACTCTGAAACATTTTTAATGCTTCTAATTTCCCATGGAAACAAGTCATCATGGTACTTAGAGTACTCACAAATTTGCGTACTATGTGTTTATACCTGTACATGTACTGTGGCACAAATACTAAATAGCTGGGAATTACAATCACAACTTTGACTCTAGTAGTGTGGTTATCTACATACAGATATCTTTGTGCAAAACCAGATTGGCCAGCTGGAAATTCCCTCCATTTTAAATGACTAAGTTTTCAAGTGATTTATTGCTTTAGGGAGGTAAGGATAACTTGGAGAAACCAGAGTTATATATAAACCTAACTGCAGCCTGATGTGTGCATGCATGTGTGTGTGTAGCCTTATATCTATAGGGAGACTGATTTAAGGACTGATGGAGTGGGTGTAATGGGCAAAGCAACCCAACCCATGGGAGTGGCAGAGTGAAATTCATTTCCTACAATCCCATAATAGCACATTGCCTTTGAACAAAATGCCACGCTCTTATAGGAACCTCAGTTGTGGGTGGCTCTCAAAGCCACATTAAAGTGACCTGGTTTCAATAAGGTGCGTAAGCCCATGGGTAATTCAGCACTGTCTAGTCCCTTTGGACTCAGTGAAATGACTCACAAGCTTACAGCTATTGACATGTTTAAATAGATCTCTGAACTGAGCCTTTTACGAGAATGCTTCTGCACAAAAGAAATGTGAGCATATGAAATCTCCTTTCAAAGGTTGTAAGAACCCCCCTTTTTTGATGAGACGAGTGAAACCTAATGTTCAGGGAGATCCTTGTTTTAGCATGTTCAAGATTTAGGCACTTGGTCTGAATTATGTCATTTGGGCCTACTTGTATCTCTGGAACTGAAACTATCTTCTAAAATAATTTTACCCAACAATCAGACTTAAGGCAGAAAAAATAAGTTCATGTAGTTGATTATTCTACTCAACTGTGCCCTTTCTTTTCATAAATACATTTTTTTAAAAAATTTATTTATTTTGCGACAAAAACAAACAGAAAAACCTTTGGGTATGACCTCACCTTTTTGGGAAATATGTATCAGCAAAACCAAAGGTGCTATTTCTTTGCCTCCCCACCCCCAGATTCATCTATGCTAAGGAGTTGCAAATAGTCTTCCCCCGAGTATCTTCTGGGAGATGAGTGCTAGCGACAACATAGTTTTTTGTTGCAATGAGTGTGCATGCTGAATGATATTGAATGGTGGCTATGCAGAATACAATGGTCCTGGCCAGTGACTTCTGAGCGAAGTAAGCATATTCTGTGGCCATAATCCCACCCTCATGCAGATGACTGAGCTTCTCCTTTCATACTTCAGAAAAGATCAAACACAGTCTCAAAGAAATTTACTCACAGTACTCTTTAACACCTTTGGGATTTACGTTTCAAATAGTGTTTTTATATCTGCTTTGCACAGGGATAGTTTCATGGAGACGATGTCAGAGCAAGCAAGGTACTTTGCATAGGCTACCTACTCTGAAACCTTGACTTTTTCTAGGGAATAAATTTGGGCAGCCTTGTGCCTAGGTGAAATACAATGCTATCTGTAGCTGCCTGGCCTTAGTATTTGAAAAAAGCTTTGAGCACGCTACTCATTTCTACTCTGCCTTAACTATTCATGTTTACATAGAATCACTTTTTAACAATATATTCTGTTGCTTGTGGCAGCTTTTCCAATGACTGCTGAAAATACGATGATTGTATCATGTTTACTGATTACTGTATTTAGCATTATGTAGGTATGGATATGAACCTCTGTCTGTTATGTCCATAAATCTTAAATTAAAATTCAAAATAAGGATGACGTCTGAGAAATCCAAGCTTCAGAGTACAGATTTGCCTTTTAGAGCAAAATGGTTTACTGAGTTAAAAAAAAAAAAATCATCTTTGGAGTTTTCATAATTAGCAAAGTATAGAGTGATGTGATTACATCTAATGCTAGTGCTGTGTTCCCTGTAAACTCAGATTGTTTGAGATCTACAGATTAAACTTCGATGTTTTGTTCATCACACAGATTTCACAAATGTGAAAGTCAAAAAGGACCTTAAATCATTTAAGATAGCTTCTAGTATAAGCTAGAAAATTTCAACCACTTGCTCCATAAAATTGGCATCAAGGGATAGAGAACCAAAATTTCCATTTGTGGTTACCTCTAAACAGTATACTTTCCATCTTTCTGTATAAAAGAAAGATCAAAAAGGGAGTCCTGTTTCTAGTTCGAACATAAGAGGTTTTAACTTTTATACCTTAGTTTTCCCTGCGTTTGTTCACTAAATGTTAACAAACCCTTTACAGAGTTTGCTATTGTGCCTGGGAAGGTATTATAACATCACGAAGTCACCTGCAGATGTCTGTTTGGTAGGTTATGACCTCACTGTGTCTCTTGGTGGAAGTGATGTTTGGTGCTCTGTCCAGGGGTGAGAGGAACCTGCCAGTCACTCCAGAGAGAGTAGATGCCAGCATTGAATTGGGCCCTATGCGTGCAAAAATATTGTTCCAGAGATAAGCACAGGTTAGGATTCTGTACTTAGTAGCCCAGGAGTAGTAAAAATCAGCATAAACTGACATCAGTGCTGAAAGATGCAGTACTGTCCCTCTCCTTCCCTTGTGCTGGCACCAGTGTGGAGTAGGCTGGATCAGAATGGCTCCAGCTGAGAGCTAACCGAGTAAATAAAAGGAAAAGAAAAGAAAGAGTCCAAACAGCATTATTTCCTATCCCAGATCAGTTCCCTCCCTATGTTTTACTATGTGGATGTCCAATTTTTTGTGCTGATGGATTCTCATGTGCAACACAGGGAAAAGCAATCAGGTAGAGGAAGGCTGGATGACTTCTGGTATCAGCATGAGTTTATGCCTCCTTGAGAGGGTTTGTCAAACCACAGCCTTATAGGAACATAAATCAGTTCACTGAACAGTGCTCTGTGTGCAGCTCTGGGCCCCACCACTTAAGAAGGACGTGAAGGTCCTTGAATGCGTCCAGAGGAGGGAACAAAGCTGGTGACAGGGCTGGGAGGAATGTCCTGTGAGGAGTGGCTGAGGAATTTGGGCTTGTCTAGTTTGGAGAAAAGGAGTCTGGGGGGCGACCTCGTTGCTCCCTGCAGCTCCATGAGGAGGGGACGTGGAGAGGGAGATGCTGAGCTCTTCTCCCTGGGATCCAGTGGTAGGGCACGTGGGAACGGTTCAAAGCTGCACCAGGGGCAGTTTAGACTGGACATTAGGAAGCATTTCTTTACTGAGAGGATGGTCAAACCCTGGAACAGGCTTCCTAGAGAGGTGGTCGGTGCCCCAAGCCTGTCAGTGCTTTAGAGGCATTTGTACAATGCTCTTAATAACATTGATCAGCCCTGAATTGGTCAGGCAGTTGGACTAGATGAACCTTGTAGGTCCCTTCCAATTGAAATAGTCTATTCTATTCTATTAAGTGTTTTGATCCAGCTTTGCCACTGCTGTTTTCCAGATTTGTTATAGCGAGGAGTAAAACAGAGCTAGAATTTCAAAACAGGGTGAAACTGGCAGGTTTTAGTTTGGTAGCTGTGCCCAGCTCATTACCTTACTATTCTAACTTGTTTTTTCTTTTAATTTAAAGATCAACTGGGATAACCCACCTGACCAGTGTTATCAAGAAAAATCATGTCCTGAGAACAATGCAAGCCCAGAAGAAGGGAAAGGATCTGCAGAGAGTAATTTTTACTTGGAGGATTTAGAGAAATATACTTTTTCTGTGTGGTAAGTAATCTCAGCACCAAATAGTTTCACAACCCAAATTATACTTTGTTATTCTTGTATTAGGGAGGTATCTACATTCAGATGAATGTTATTAGGCTGAAAAATCCAGCACATGGGTTGACAACTACCTAAGCAATGTCACCTTGTCTCCTTTGTGCGTGCATTTTATGATTATGGCATCATATGCTATTTTTCCATAGAGTTTATTTTTCTTTGTGTGTGTTATTTATTGTGTATATATTAAGGATTTTACTTTCTGGTTTTTGGTCACTGTGGCCCCTGGCCTTATTTACAACATGCAGACCCTGTCTGAAATTCAGAATTACTGATTTTCTCGTACTTGCCTTCCCAACAGAACTTTACAAATAAGAGTTTTTCTTTGCCAAATCACTGTGAACTAAGTAAAGGGTGTTATTTCCCCTTCACAAATAGGAGTATGAGGTAAGATATTTCTAGCACTTATAAGTAACCAAGGACATGGATTTTTCTTGACTTCTTAGTATTATTTATGATTGAAGTTGATTAGAAAAAAATTCAAAGCATTTTTTGTCTGAGAATTCAATTTTGGCATTTGCTGCATTGCTTTGAGATGCTATGTCGGGGAAGAAATGAAAGAGGATTTCTAGCAAAAACTTTTCAGCATTTTAAGAGAAACACACTACCTTTCTTGGATGTTACATTAAATATTATTACTTTTCTCTGTTATAAAATACACATATGGGGAATGACTTAAAATGAAAAGATAAATTCAAGTGAAATTAAGGAGACTATCAAAATGAAATATTTTGCTTTCCTTAGAATTATCTTTCCTGGGATTTCATCTTCTAGGTAATTTCAAAAGTTGGACAGTTATCTGTAATTAGTAGAAAACAATGAAGACCTAATCCTTCACTAAATGAAATGATCTGATAGTCTTTCACATAGCTCTGTATTGTGTTTTGAATGTTAAAAACCCAGTTGTAATGTACATCTCTGGCACCTATGGGCTTCTGCAAACCAGCCCCTAGAGTTTCAAAGGAAGAGTCCAGAAAATGAGCATCAGAATAGGATGGTTTGTCTGTGAAAATTTAGTTTTAAATGACCTCCCTATCAAAACATTTTTAAACAGAATTATCAACTCAGGCAAGCCAAGCAGCTTTCAGCATTACTAGTCCTGTCATTCCCTGCTCTCACTTGCCACATTCACTTGGTGCCTTTAACGTTGGCAGAAAGTTAGGTAAAGACCCTACAGACATAAAGTGCATTTTCACTGTAGAAATCTGGACTCAACCCTGGAGATGGTCAGCCCTGAGTATTGCAGGAGGCAGCATCAAGTAGAAAAATAACACACAATCATATAATTAGACAGCCATAATTCTGCTGAATTAATCATGGTTATTTTTGACAATTAAGAACTCCTCCATCCTGGCCATAATTTAAGAATAGGTTTCAGAGTAACAGTGTTCATCCAAATATCCTTGCCAGCTCCCACTGTTTTATTTTACCTACCTCAATTTCAAATTAAATTAACTGAATTATCATCAACCCTTTATATCTCAAGGTGTTTGCTTTCTGTGGCAGTGAACTTCACTTTCTCTCTTCCATGTCTTGTACAGTTACAGTGATATCAGCAGCATTGATCCTTTATTCTTTTCAAAGTTGTTCAGCTTGAAATTGTTAAGAAAGAGGCCCATGTCCATCCTTCCTTAGCACTGGAGCACCCCTGGAGCACGTTGTGGTTTCTGGTCGCCGTCCCAGCAGCAGCCTGGCCCCAGGCTTCAAAGCCCGTGGCCTCTGTGATTGCATGGGGTGCCCAGAGCAGAAGAGTGAACAGGCATTTGTCTATGTTGGCATGCACCTCTCTGTCTGGTTTGGGGACCCAGGAAAATAATGATGGTTCTTTCTTCCTTTAGCTTTTCTTTTTCCTTTCTTCATCCTTTCTTAGGAAGCCCAGTTGACTTTGCAGCCCCATGCCTGTGGGGACACTGGATTTGCTAGGGTTCCCTGGGGGGGCAGGGGTATGGCTGAGCACAGTAAGTTATAGGGCATGAACCGTATATTGCTGGCACAAAATGAAGGTTACAAGGCATGCTTCATGGTGGCTGTGCTGTCAGTCCTCCTGTGAAGACAGCTGTGGCTAGTATTTTATTATTTCAATATGCCTTTCTATTTACTGTCTCTGTCATCCTGTTTGAAATAAGGATCAGTGTTTGTTTTATTTACTTATTTATTACGTGAAAGTCCTATGAGGTTAGAATAAAACAGAATTTAGAGAGCATTTCTTTGCTTTCTGCTTTGCTTGTGGTAAAATGTCATCTTTATCAGAAGGAAAAAAAGAAGGAAAACAAATTACTCTGCTCTTGGTCAAGTAATATAGCTATTACACTTAACATGCCATGTAAAGAATGTATCCTTAATATTTTTTTTTTAAACTTAGAGTTAATTCAGTTTCCTTGTGTGATTGAAAGAGTATCTGATAACTTATGAGATCTTAGTTCTATTTGTTACCATACCAGCACGACATTGCAGTTGTTACTCATTTGTGCCTCTCTTCTTTCCTTTTCTCCTACTTTCTCCATCAAAGGGCACCAATTCCTCTTTGTCTGTTTCCAGACCTTCCTCTCTGCTAGGATTGCTACCTTTTAAAAAATGCAATGCAAGATAATTAGCAACTACAAAAATTTTTAATAGGATTGTAGATCTGGGGGCAGCTTAGATCTCCATAAACTTCAGAGTTTTAGATGCTCCAAGATGCAATCTGAGCAATTTCCTTGATCTTTTATTGCAGCTGGTAAATCATTTATTGGGCTAGGTTATTTTACAAAATCCTCTTTAAAAAAAAAATCCCATAAAATGTATTTATCATAAAATGCTGCACGACCAACATTCTTCAAAGTTGTACATACCCTGTATTAATTAAAAACTAGTGTTTTACTGTGACAAGTTAAAAGTATCCACTCTGTCTCAGTCTCTCTCTTTTTTCCCTTTCTCTCTCCCCGTCTCTCCCTGTATTTTTTTTCATTTTTCTTTCCTCCTTCTCCTCTTCTCTTTTCTTGTAGGGCTTGCCAAAGGGGAGATTGGCGAGTATGAGCAAAATATTCTTTTGTGATCACAAATATTTTTCTGATAATTGTGATTTTTTGTTTGTTTGTTTGTTTGTTTCCATTGCTGTAGCATGCTTGTCCTTTTCCATTCATATTAATTTGACAGTGGTGTCTCACGTCTGTAGGCCATAGTCAAACCTCCTTACAGTGGGCATTATACACATACGTAATAAAAAGATCATTTTTGCTGCAGATGCCCACAGCCTTCAGCTTCGATCTTTCAGCCTACACAAGTGACTTCTCCACTGTGCCTACATACACCCTTGCTGAGAGCAGCAGGCTCTTGTTCAGGTCCAGTGAATTGGTGGTGAGGGGGATGAGTCCAAAACGTAAGACGAGAGAGAAGAGGTTAAGACAAGAGACAGACGTGGTCATGTATTTCAGGGGGGTGGGTGCTGCTGAAGTGGTCGGCTGCAGTCACAGCCCTGTAACTGCTAAATGGTCACCAAACGTTTTGCAGACCTTCCAGGAGAGCCGACCCTAGGACCTTGCCTTGCACCACAGCATCTTTGAACCTCCCTTCTCTCAGAAATTTGTGTTTCTGGAACTAAAAGCCCATACAACCTGCAGCAGAACAGGAATATTTTTAATAGCTATTCTCTAAATAAGACAGGTGAAATCGATAACCTTGAGAGGGAAACTGGAGGAATTTTGACCCTTGCAGCCCCCAAAACGTGATGTTAGAAGCTTTCTAGACCTGTTGTTCTGTTCCCAGAAAGAACAATTTGAGGAAAAAATATTCTTCATGGATATAATGTCTCCATAAAACCAGATTTCCTGAAAGTGCATCTTTCTGTGGAAATACAGATCTGAGAAATAATTTCAGCACTTCAGCACTTTAACACTTCTTTTTATGCATTGTTTTAGAGGAGATAGGAAAAAGATCCCAGATTTAAAACCCCTTTATCTGTCTTAATACCAAAAAAAAAAAAAAAAATTTGACATAGATACTTTCTGTGACTCTAGGTTAATCTTCAGGCTTAAGTTTAAATATAAATAATGAACTTGCAGTTTCAATCACCAACAACTTATCATCAAACACAGCTCTTAAGGGTTAATATTACACAGTAATATAAAAGTAACCATCATCCTTTGTCTCCATGCAATTAGCTTTTTAACAATGTGCCTGTAGCTCATACCTGGGCTAAATGCTGCTTTGAAATATTTTCTCCTTAACTCCAAACGTGTTAAGCTGACTCTGGCCAGCTTCTATAAAAATAATTTATTGTAGGGCTCTGCCTTTTGTGGGGGAATACCCAGCGCCCCACACAGCAGTGCCGCGCGTTGCCCATGGTAGCTCGGCCGCAGGCTGCCTGGTGCATCATCATTGCAGGACCAGACAGCATCTGGAGACAGGAGACAAGCCAGTGTCCCACTGCACACAGGCATCAGTAAGAAATAAATCCTACCTAGATTTATATTTCCACACCTCTGGAATCCAGGGAGGGGTGGGACAGGCTTTGGTTTTCACTTGCGGCCGTCAGGAGCAGATGCAGCCCCTGTCCAAGATGGGTAGCAAGGGGGGGGGGGGGGGGGCAGGGAGTGGAGAAGAAGTCTCTTGACAGCATACACCAGCCCGGGTAGGGTGGATGGGGTTGAAGACCCCTTTTGTGACACTTCCTCAGCACCTGTAAACTTCATGATTTTACCTGCTGAGTGTTTTAGTTTGTTTTGATTTGTTTTTTTTTTTTTTCCAAATTGATGAGGACACTGAGGGGTAAGAAGAGTTAACTGTGAACAGCACAATATAGTAAACTTGTTTTTTAATAAAAACAATAAACTTTCCCTTTAGAATACACATGTGATTTGACATTGAAATAAATGCAGATGCTTCTTTGCTTGGTGTATTCCCTGTTGTGCTTTCTAAAACACCTTCACATATGGTTTGCCTCATTCCTGTGAAACTGCTTGTTGTTT